AGGAAAATCATTTTTAAGAAACTTCCCGAGGAATGACCAAACCATGGTACATCCCTACATTTAAACATTTGGAGGCAGGGAGATGAAATAGATTTTGGACACTGACACAGAAAGAGCTCCAAGGCAGAGCATTTGATGTTGGTACTTAAAAAAGAAAAAAAGAAAGGTGGGCGGGGGGGGGGGGGAGGATGTCAAGCAAGACCATGGATTTCTGTAGAAACATACATATGTATATACATGCAAAGAAAAAGATACGGAAGCCATCCCTGAAATTGACAATACTAATCACCTCTGGGAAAGGTAGTGTGACGAGGGGATTTATACTTTACCTCTGTTGCTTGAAAATTTTACATAGTGAGAATTTAATTACATACATATTTTTAAATAATTTTTTAAAGCTGCCTGAGACCCTTGGCATCTTATTTATACCACAGTCTTCCCATCCTGATTAGCATAATCTCTTCCCCCTAATAATTCACAGCTCTCTTTGGCCCCTTTCATTCCCCCAGCCGGGCTTTCTACCACCAGTTTGAGACTTACAGCTCCTTCCAGATACCAATTCATTTACTCCTGCCCATCAGGTGACTATGATTCTTTCCTCTGTTTTATGCCATAGGAGAGTAATGCACAGAGACACTAAGTAATGTGCTCAATGTCACACAGCAAATGACTAATATAATAGGATTTGAACCCCCAAAGGACCTGCAGACTTAACCATTCCACTTCCTTGCTCTCTAGAAGGTCAAAATTGCTTTTAACTTCTTGCATCCCTCTGCCTTGAGCTGCTTGTAGTAAGCAAATATCTAGGTACCACCGATGAATATTTACCACTAATTCCTTTTTTGCAAGGTCTCACTCATTTACATGGCTCTGTCTCTGATAGAAGGGGGTGCTCAAAATTCAGAGTCAGCTGGAAAGGGAGTTTTATCATGTACTGTGTTTGCAAAGCACACACCCACACACATGCCCAAGGACCAAATTAACTGCTAATTTGAGACTATGCTGGTAATGTGGCAGACAGACAGGAGTGGGACAGAGGTTAGGCAGGGTGGGTGAACTCTTTGTGTGTGTGTGTGTGTGGTGTGGTGTGGTGTGATGCTATAGGGCCCAGCAACATGACAGTCCCCAGAAGCCCTTGGGCCACTTGCTAAGTCCCAGCAGCTGAGCTGACTTCAGCTGTGTAAAATGCAGCCCCATCTGGACTGGGAGTGGCTTGTGACTTTTGCTCCAGGAGTTCCGTAGAGGCTGCTCATGAAATTGGAGACGTCTGTAGCATATGATTGTCCCCATCCCACTCAGAGAGAATATTTTGAGAAGTCTAATTATATGGTGGGGTTTGGAGGAAAGAGGGTTTAGATAAGCCCTTTCTAAAGGCAGGTTGAAAGGGCTATTGGGGAGCCTTGGGCAGTTCCGTGAGGCAGGCGCGCCCTCTGCAGGTGGGCCACAGTAGCTGCAACCAGTGCGTTCCCTGGGAGGCATGCCCAGCCATCTCTCTAACAGAGGATACTGACCTCCGAGCTGTGTGACTTAGGTGAGTTGTGGACCCTCTCTGAGGCTCAGCTGCCTCCACTTGAAATGAAGGACATAAATCCCGACCTCGTGGGGTCGCTGTCATGATTAGACAGAGAACATGTCCCCAGAGCGCTCTGCAAAGGGGCTGGTACACAGGACCAGTGTCCTCTCAAGGCGGCAGCTGACCTGGAGGCCTTGGAGACCATGCTGGGGGTTGGCGGTTGATTGGATGCAGCAGAGGGAAGAGTCAGGTGCACACCAGGTTTGCGGCTTAGAGGCTGGGTGGATGGTGCTGAAAAGAGAGGAGCTGTGAGCGCCTCGGGTGACATGGATGATCAGGGACAGGTTGAGTTTCAGAGGCCATTGGGATACTCAGACAGATGCTCAGGAGACAGCTGGACAAGGGGGGGAGGGGGTCAGCCAGAGAGATGGAAGAGAGTGACAGCCCATTGGGCGAAGGAGAATGAAATCCTAAATTCTGGATGATGAGGATCCTAAGTGCCACCACAGAGATGTATTGGGGTAGGTGGGTTTTTCTTGGAGACAAATGACTCTCCCAGGCAATAAAATTATCTGATATTTCTCCTCTAAATCTTATCTGACAAATCTCTCTTAAATCCTTGGCCCTCTGGTTGGAGGGGAAGGAGGGGGAATCAGTTCAGGTTGCCCTAAATCACCAGACACCAGACACAGAGTTGCTCATACAAATGACAATTGATACAACACAATGCTTTGGGGTTTACTTTTTAATTCTCAAGTGGATTTCCAGCCCTTTGGAAAGATTCTCACCCAAGACTGTTCACCTTTCTCATTACCCAAAGACTAAGAAAGTCTGTAAAATGGGGGGGGGGGGTTATTCCAACCGAAAGCGTTGTTAGGAGGCCTAAGCAGACTGTTTCTGTAAGCACATTTGTAAGCGATGAGGCGCAGCATAAACCTACAGCAGCAAGCCGATTGTTGAAAACCAATACTTCACTCGCTAGACAAATGGAAACAGACAAACACAAAACCTTGGTTCATGCCACGAGGACACCTTGGGAAGATCTGTCAGGAGCAGGCCATGAAAACCTCTAAGCCGTGCAGCTGTGCCTTTCTGGAATCCCAAAGTTCAGGGCGGAGGTGCAGCCGCCCAGGAATTTGTTCCTCCATAACTCTGAGCTCCCCAAATCCCCATGAAGCCCAGGGACGATGTGCCTGCAGGGCGCGTGGGCCCATTGGCACCAGAAGCCCCTCCATAAATCAAGGTCTCACTTCTGCCGGCCTCAGGCTGCTCTTTCCAAGGTGACCCGGGCAAAGTAAAAGAGTTATCAGTTATCTAGGAGTAGCATCTGCCTTGGAGCTGAAGGAGTCCTGAAAATGCCAACAGGACCAATCCTTTACCAACAGGTTCCTTGGAGGGAGAGGATGCCCTTCCTTCATCTCTGAAGACAGTTCAGCCAGGAGGGGTTAGAGAGAGAGTAACAATCTTCCCATGACTCCATCCAGGTTGGGTGGCCCTCTGAGGCCCTGGGGCAGACTTGGAGAAGCCCTATTCCAGGGCTGGGTCAGCCCCAGTGGAAAGTCAAGGTGACTTCAGCTTTGTCAACAGTTACTGCCAAGACAGCCCCCCCTTAAGCAGCCATGTGAATTCCAGAACCCTAAATCAGCTGGTCCAACACCCTGATGATGCAGGCAAGGAAACTATAGGCCAGAGATGGGGAGGGACAGGGGACCTCTGTTCAAGGTCACAGAGCCTTGAGAAGATTCAAGGTTAGACCCAGGGGTCCAGGCTGTTTCTTGTGGCCTCACTACACACCTCCTTTAATGAGGTCACATAGCAGCGGCACTGGCGGGTTCCAGTCCAGGACTCCAGAAACTTAGCCCCCAAAAACCAATTTTCCCCGCCATCTTAATTTCCCCAGTCACATCTACATGAGCTGTGAGGAAACTAAAGACTATCAAAAGGTGCCCTTCATAGGTCAGAAACAAGCAGGCGGAGAAGGGAAAATATCATTCCTGAGAAACATGAGTACCTGCCAAGCTAACTACCCACATAAATGCCTGAGGTGACCCACGAGACCAGGTGACCTGGAGGACTGAGGAAATCAAGCCCCCAGAAGAAGGAAGGGCCTGGGATGAGCCACGGAGACATTGGGGAAAGCACCTGAGATGACTAAACTGGAGACTTACATGCACAGACCTCTCCTACAAGAGAGATCTCTCCCACAAGACTGTTTTGGAGCTTTAAGTGAGATGAAGGATCCTAACGCTAGGCACATAGCAGGTGTGCAACCAATGGCTTCTAGTGCTAAATGGCTAAGTAAGCCGCCAAGGGCTGGGTCCCCTCCACCTCCTGACTCTATGGAGCAGAGCTTAGTGTTGTGTGAGGGCCTGGTTGGGCGCCTACAGGACAGTAAACCCAGTGAGGGCAGGAACTTCACCTGCCTTGCTCGCTCACTCAAGGCAGTTGCCCAGCATCTAGCACACAGTAGTGCTGGTGGCATATCTTTGGGTGGATGTGTGGAAAGGCATGTGGACAGGTGGGTAGATGGATAGATGGATGGATGGATGGATGGATGGATGGATGGATGGATAGATGGATGGATAGATGGATGGATGGAAGTGTGGATAGATGGATGGATAGATGGATGGATGGATAGATGGATGGATGGATAGATGGATGGATGGGTGGGTGGATAGACGAAAGGCTGGATGGATAGATGGGTGGGTAGGTGGGCGGGTAGATGGATGGTAGGTGTCATCCACCTTTGCCCGTCATCTCTGACATCCCCTCAGTGCCCTCACCAACCCTCCCGGTTTGCCCAGGGACGCCGGACTCCCTGTGCTAAACCAGGACAGTCTCGAGCAAACCGCACCGTGCCTGACAAATGTCTGACCAAAGCCACTAATGGGGCGCCTGGGTGGCTCAGTCGGTTAAGCGTCCGACTTTCGCTTAGGTCATGATCTCGCGGTTCGTGGGTTCGAGTCCCGCATCGGGCTCTGTGCTGACTGCCAGCTCAGAGCCTGGAGCCTGTTTTAGTCTGTGACTCCCTCTCTCTCTGACCCTCCCCTGCTCACGCTGTCTCTCTCTCTCTCTCCTAGAAATAAATTTAAAAAAAAACAAAACATCAAAGCCACTAAGCTCGTCACTAAGAGATGAGTGACTACTGACAAAGTTTCTGGGAAGAACGGGAGCTAAATACGGACCGAACTCATGGAACAGCTCCTCCTTGCCGGGATCTCACTCCCAGCCCTCCCCACTCTCTCCCTCTCAGACTCCGCCCCCTTCTGGGAAGGTCACCTTAGGAAGGCGGGAGGCCAATTGGGCATGCGCCGCGCACACCGCAACTGCGCACGTTGGCATTGGCTTTCTCCGCCTTCCCTCCGCCCATCGGGGAAACTGGATCCGCCTCCCACTCGGCGGCTCCCGCCCGGCTAGCGGGTCCTCGGTGAACGCCGGCTCTGCGCCGCGGTGCTCGACGGGACGACGGCGGAAAGCGACCTCAGGGTTAAGGGGTGGGGCTTGACGTCAGGACCCAAGATGGCGGCGGCGGTGGTCGGAGTCTCCTTGAAGCGCTGGTTCCCGGCCACAGCCCTTGGCGGAGCCTGCCTGCAGGTAAGCTGCGGGGTCGGGGGAAGAGGGCAGGCATGAGAGTCACGGAGGCAGCCTGGCGCTGAGGGGTCCGTGGAGGAGGGCGAGGGAGCCCAGGACAAAGCCCCAGGGAGTGGAAGGACTCGCTCCTACTGCGTCGTGCGGGCGTTTGGTCCTGGAGCATCCCTGTCCGTTAACCTCTTGCGCCTCGCCGCAGCCTGAGAGGTTATCAGGGCGGAGACGATTTTTTTTTTTTTTAAATAAGGGGGAAAAATTCATAGAGGGGCCTTGAGTTGCCCAAGGTCACGTGACAAGAGAGTGCCTGTTGAGCCATATTCGAATCCAAAGGTTTGGGCTCCAAGCCCGTTCTCTGTCCTCAAACTAGTCTCTGTGGAAGACACGGACCCGCGGGCGTGGGAGGAATGGACCTGGGAATCGAGGTCTCTCCTCCAGGGCTGGGGGCTCGGTAAACAGAGACTGGACCGGAATTGGTAAGGAAAGGGCAGAGGAAGGGGAAAATGGAGGCAAATCGTATCCCTGAAGGATCTGGGCCCTTCCCCCGGTGGAGGGGGGAGGGGGGGCGTTGCTGCAGGGAAAACTGGGTGCCTTAAAGCAGTGTCGGATGACGCCGACTCAGTGTCCCCTGTCTGTAAAGGGCTTGACAGCAATATCAACCGCAGAGTCTGGGCATGGATCTCATAGGTACAGAGCTTGGTGCTGCCCTTACTTATATGACTCAATGTGCAGTGATAAGTTTCCCCCACCCCTTTGTATTAGGACTCTACACACTAATCTGCATTCCAGATGGAATATTTATTTGGACGGGGAGGGGAAATGGTCATTGCACACATAAGATACTAAGAATTTACAAATCCCATTGAAGTCTGTTTCCTCCTCTGGGCTCTCCAGCAACCTCTGCAAGATGAGCAAATAGTAGTTCTTACCTCTTTTTTTTTTTTTTTTTAAGTTTCAAAACTGAGGCCCCCAAAGAGAAAATTTTTTACTTGCTCAAAATATCACAGCTAAGAACTGGTAGATCTAAGACCAAGATCCAGTTTGTTTTCTTGGTTTTTTTTTGGTTTGGGGTTTTTGTTTGTTTGTTTACATAATATGTGAAAAACTCTTAGCACTGATCTGGAAACTGGTGAACCAGAAATACTAGTTCCTCTCCTCTTGAACTTACATGAGAATCTCTCCAGTTGTAAATACAGCCCCGCTGCATAACACAGTACCTACTGCCTGCCTTCAAATGCTAGTTCTTTCCAGTGTGTGGTACATGAACTTGAATAAGTCATTTTATAGTCTTTCTAAAAAGGGGGAGATAGGGAGGGAGGACTGACTATCAGAGCTTCAAGTTCGTGTCCTCTGAGCGTTGTTAATGACTAGTAATGACCTTGTTTACCAGTTCCTTTCATAGTTTCTGAACAAGCAATTAAGCTGTGAGCGCCCCACCAATGAGCATGAGTTCCAAAGCTCAGGTCCCTCTTCCATGAATGAGCTGAGCAGAAGGTTGGTTTCATAGGTCAGTTTCATAATTCAGGTGAAGCTGTTGCAGGGCCTCCTGAGGGTAGAGAAATAGAGGAGGTCCCTCCTCTCCACTCCCCCACGTAGGAATGTGCATTCATACCCACAAAAGCCACCTCAGAAGAATCCCGAAATGAGCCTGGTGTATTATCTGAGTGATAGTCAGGGTCCTGGGGCTCTAAGACACGGTAGGATTTCTCTTCTGAATTCCTTTTCTGCATTAGTCTGCACTGAACCGCAGTCCTGCCGATAAGTGTTCAGTAATCTGTTAACTGTGATTGTAGTTCTTTATTTCTTCATCGAGATTGTGAATCGCATTAGGGCAGGTACCGCCTGCTTTCATTTGTGTCTCATTGTTCTTAGCACTGGCACATCTTAGGGTGCCTGACTGCCAATCAAACTGATGATCTTGCCACTGCTGAAAAGCAGAAATTATTTCTCTGGGCTATGCTAGAAGTTTGACCCTCCGGTTTAATCTTAAGAGATAGATATTGGGGCGTCTGGGTGGCTCAGTCAGTTGAGCCTCCGACTTCAGCTCAGGTCATGATCTCACGGCTCATGGGTGCAAGCCCCGCGTCAGGTGCTGTGCTGACAGCTCAGAGCCTGGAGCCTGCTTCAGCTTCTGTGTCTTCCTCTCTCTCTCTGCCCCCCACCCCGCATTCTATCTCGCTCTCCTTCAAAAATAAATAAACATTAAAAAAAGATAAGAGGTGGATACTAATATACCCCCACCCCTATACAAAAGAGGGCTCTGTGCTGACTGCATTGGAACCTGCTTGGGATTCTCTGTCTCTCTCTCTGTGTCCCACCCCCACTTGCTCTCTCTCTCAAAATAAGTAAAAACTTTTTTTTTTAGTCTCCACATGGATATCTCAAAATACATCACAAACTTTGCCGGCCCCAGACCAAACTCCTAGTGCCCCTCGCCACACACAGCGCAGGCGATGGCACTGGCGGCCTCCATGGGGCTTGGGCCAAACACCGCGGTCATCCTTGCTCTGTGCCCCGCTCTCATGTCCAGTCTGTGTGGAAATCTTGTCAGTTTCTTCTTAAAATGCATTCCAGAACGGACCGCTTCTAAAAAAACAAAAACCAAACAGAACTTACCACTTCTTACCATGCACAGCCAGCAGCCTGGGTGAAGCTCCCATCATCCCTTCTGATTACTGAATTACTGAGTACTGTAATTCTTACATGGTTTTCTCGCTTTCATCTTTGATTCTCAAAACAAACCAAAATTATCCTTTCAAAGCTTGAGTCTGACTTTGTCACTCCTCTGCTCAAAACCAGAAGTTTCTCATCTTATGGTAAAAAGCAAAAACCGTTACAAGGTCGGGCCACCTGGCTGGCTCATTCAGTACCGCATGTGACTCTTGATCTCATGGTCATGAGTTCAAGGCCCATGTTGGGCATAGAGTATACTTAATTTAAAAAGAGAGAGAGGAAGAGAATGTTCTCTAAAGTTTGAATCTCAAATATACAATTCATTGGATGCATTGGAAATTTGCTAGGGGGCACCTGGCTGGCTCAGTCAGTAGAGCGTGCAACTCTTGACCTCCAGGTCACGAGTTCAAGCCACAGGTTGGGCGTAGAGATTAGTTTAAAAAAAAAAAAAAAAAGCAGCAGCAGCTTCCAGGATCCTGTGTGCTCTGACTGTCCCATTAACTTCCTGATCTCCTCCCCCATTCCTGCGTCTCTAGCTCACTCCTTTCTCAACTACACTGACTGGCTTTTGCTCCTCAAACCCATTTCCACCTCTAGATTTGGGCTCAGTGCCCCCGCTGCCCAATTTGCTCTTCCCCTGGGTACAGGTAATGGTTTGCTTACCTTCTTCAGGTCTTTGCGTAGCTGTCATCTTTTCAGTGAAGACTTCCCTGGCCACACCATTTAGAACTACAGAATTATAGTCAGGACCCCACCCCCTCTCCATTGCATTTATCACCACCTGACATACTATCGATGTGATTTGTGTGATGTGATTTGTGTGTGTCTCTGGTCGCTGTACCTCCAGAAGGATCAGAGCATGTGTGTCTGTTTTGCCCTTGATCCCCAGGGCCTAGAACAGTCCCTGGAACATATTAGCCACTCTGTAATTATTTATTGAACAAATAAACAAATGAGTATGTGTGGGCCAACTACTGCATAAGATCTTACTAATTGTATGAATTCAGTGTTCCTTGGATTTGTTTCAGAAAAGTAATTCGCTTTTTGTGCTGGTCAGCTTTGGATTTGCATTTTCTTTCTTTCTTTCTTTCTTTTTTAATGTTTTATTTATTTCTGAGAGAGACAGCTTGAGCAGGGGAGGGTCAGAGAGAGAGGGAGACACAGAATCTGAAACAGGCTCCAGGCTCTGATCTGGCTGTCAGCACAGAGCCCGATGCGGGGCTCGAACCCACGAACCATGAGATCACGGCCTGAGCCAAAGTCGGACGCTTACCCGACTGAGCTACCCAGGTGCCCCTGGATTTGCATTTTCGCCACAGATATAATGGGTAAAAGGTTGGCCTTTGGAGATAAAAGCCATTGAATCTGTATTTGAATCCTGGCTCTTTTGATCTATGCTTTTTCTTTTTTTCTTTTTTTTTTTTTTAATTTATTTTTTCTTTTTACTTTAGAGAGAGGGAGAGGGAGAATGTGAGCAGGGGAAGGGGGCAGAGGGAGAGAGAAAATCCCAAGCAGGCTCCACGCTCAGCATGGAGCCAGATGTGGGAGTCAGTCCCACAACCCTGAGATCATGACCTGAGCCAAAATCAAGAGTTGGACACTTAACCCACTGAGCGACCCAGGCGCTCCGATTTTCATTTTTTAGTGAGAATAATAAAACTTCACTTTGTAGAGATGTTGTAAAGCTTAGAGACCATTTAGTATAATACTCCACACACGGTAAGGGCTCAGTGAATGAGAGCTGTTATCTTTTTATTTTACTTCTACTGGGACACCAACATAACACATTTTCACTTTTCTCTGCTCCGTGAATGTACTGCTTCCTATCACAGCTGCCTTAATCCTGTGGATTAACTTACTTAGTGCAGTGAGTGAACGCCTTCCATTCAGAACCACGACCTCCTCTGGGGATTCTGATTTTCTCATCTTCTCTTCTCATTCCTGTTACCCTCTATCCCTCCAAGTCTTGTGTAAAACATGGATTTAAATTAGGCAGTTTAAAAGAAAAATGAGTAATGCTTCGAGGCATCCCAAAACTTACGTTGGGGTTCCTCAGGGTCCTCTCCTGTGATGCGCCCTTGTGGTTTTTGTCTCACATCGTGCATGGGATAAGATTTGTTAAATGATTTCTAAAAAACCTAATCACCTTGGGGAAGATCTGCATAATCAAGCCTAGACCTTGTGTTTTTGCAGGGTGGGTATGAAACTGAGCGAAGTATTAGAGGGCGGTGTTAAGGGGAGGACCCACCATCGCAGGGAGCCACAGTCAGCTTTAAGAGGACTTTGTGGCAATGAGACCAAGCTTGGTAAGGATGCATGTTGCCCTCTGACAGCACTTCTAAATCAGGCTTCACAGCCCAGAAGCTGTAACTGACAACCCAGAGTCCCAAGTTCTTTGGAAAGCCAAGCTTTACTAATATTTTAATGTAAAAAAAAAATTCATTTTAAGCAGTTAGGTTTTTTTAATGCATTTTGTTTCTCTCTCGTCTCGGTCTTGCACCTACCACAGGCAAGGCAGCCTCCCACTCTGGGAAATAATTTGGTAATTTTGTTAAAAAAACAAAAACAAAAAAAAAAAAAAAACAACGAAATCTGCAACTGTCCTAGAATCCACCAGTAGGTACCTTCCTGGGCATTTACCTTCCTGGGCATTTATCCCAGAGAAGTGGAGACATGTTCACATATGTTCATTATAACTTCATTTGTAATTGCCAAAACCTGGCCGCAGCCTTGAGGCCCTCCAGTGGGAGACCAGCCAGTGGGAGACCGGCCGAGCACACTGGGGCCCGGCGTACCATGCAGCACAACTGTCAAGTGCACACACTTGGGTGCATCTCCAGAGAATTCTGCTGAATGGAGAAAAACCAGTCAAAAGGTTCCATGCTAGATGATTCCATTTATATAACATGGTTGAAAGGATGGAATTGTAGGAGTGCAGGAGTGAGGGGGGAAGGCGTGAGGGGTGTGGCTTCAGTAGGGCAATACCGGTGGTCTTCCTGGGGCTGGGAGCACTCTGTCTTGACCAGATCAGTGCTGATGTTGTGAGACTGTGCTATAGATCTGGACTGTTTTCATAGGGGAAATTGAGTGTACTCAGTGAGGGATCTCATTATTCTTAAAAATGCATGTGATTCTACAGTTATCTCAAAATGGAAAGTTTAGGGTTTTGTTTTGTTTTGTTTTGTTTTAAAAAGCCACAAAGTGGACATACGCACAGCATGAAGGAAAGCCGGAAGCGGGTAGACCCAGGACGCCCTGCCTGATTACATTTATGTGAAATTCTGTAAAAGGAGGGGCGCCTGGGTGCCTCACTGGGTTAAGTGTCTGAATTCAGCTCAGATCATGATCTCGCGGTTCGTGGGTTCAGGCCCCGCATCGGACTCTCTGCTGTCAGCGCAAAGCCTGCTTTGGATCTTCTATCCCCCTCTCGTTGCTCCTCCTCCGCTCATTCTTCTCTCTCAAAAATGAATAAACATTTTTTAAAAATATTTTTATTTATTTCTAGGAGAGAGAGAGAGAGAGACAGCGTGAGCAGGGGAGGGTCAGAGAGAGAGGGAGATACAGACTCTGAAATAGGCTCCAGGCTCTGAGCTGGCAGTCAGCACAGAGCCCGACGCGGGACTCGAACCCACGAACCGCGAGATCATGACCTAAGCAAAAGTCGGACGCTTAACCGACTAAGCCACCCAGGCGCCCCTGAATAAACATTTTAAAAAATGAAATTCCCATTGAGGAGGGCACTAGTTGGGATGAGCACTGGGTGTTGTATGGAAACCAATTTGACAATAAATTCTATTTTAAAAAATAAAATAAAATAATGAAATTCTGTAAAAAGCAAATCTGTAGTGACAGAAAGCAGATCAGTTGCAAGAGGGAGGGAGTGGGCACTGATTGTAGAGGAACAGTAGAGAACTTTCTAGGTGGAAGTGTTCCGTCATAAGTATGGTAGTAGTTATACCACCTTATTAAAACTCCTCAAACTGTACCCTTAAAATTGGTGAATTGTATTGTAATGAAGTTGACTTCATTAAATCTAACCAAAACAAGGTAGGAGCACAGAGCAATCGGAAGGCTGCTGGAACGAGTATCTTCAGGGAGCTTTTCTTTTCACTGCCTCCACTTTGTCGTAAATGCCACAAGGTGGCGTCAGCCAAATGTTTCTGCTTTACAAAATGGACTCCCTGTGGACACCTGGCTGGCTCAGCTGGTAAAGAGACGACTCCTAATCTTGGGATCATGAGTTCAGGCCCTGCCTAGAGCTTCCTTAAAAATAAATAAAATACAGTAGCATGGAATAGAATCTTGCCTTCGATGCTAAAAACGGGGAGAGGAGGGTCCCTAATGGAAGATGTTCTTTTGTAGAAATGACTTTCCTTTTATTACTGATGTTAACCAGCTCGGCGGTAAAGGAAAAATCCGCTTTTGTCTTCACCTTCACTTTCATCTTCCTATATTTCCTTTTCTCCTACGGGTAGCTGGTGTTTATGTTTTCAGCCTCACTTAATTTGGGACGCTTTTTGCCAGCAAGTAAGAAACGCCATCGCCTCTCTTGTGTTACGCTGTTAACCTCCCCGGTTTTGTCTGTTTTTACCAGTTTATGAGACAGCTAGCTGGCCTGGCCTGTAGTCTGTGTGTTTCTGCGTACAGACCAGGGGCTCCACTTCTGATTGCTGTTGGGACTGGCAGGATCCTTAGCCTGCCTCCCACGGCAGAGCCAGCGGGACTTGGTGCGGTCTCCGCCTCATGTCTTCCACCTCGATGGAAAGGGCTTCAAGGGCTGTGGAATGGGGACGGCGCGTTTCTGTTTGCCTCATGCTCCATTTTCGCTGTTTACTTTTTTTTTTTAATTTAATATTGTTTTAAATTCCAGTATGATTTCTTGCGTTTGCCTTCAGTTTTCCTTACCATGAATGGAACTGCTGTACACAAAGGCCTGGACCAGGTAGTGGAAGGTGCAGAATAGAACCTGCTCCATGCTGTGAATGGTCAGTTTTATGTGTCAGCTGGGCCACAGGGTGCCTGGATAGCTGGTCACACATTTTGAGTCTTTCTGTGAGGGTATTTTTAGAGGAGGTTAACATTTACATCAGTAGACTACGTAATGCAGATTGGCCTTCCTAATGCAAGTGGGCCTTATCAAATCAGTTGAAGGCATGAATAGAGCAAGTAGACCAAAAGCCTCCTCTTCCTCCAAATAAGAAGGAATTCCTCCTGCCTGACTGCTTTCGAACTGAAACGTTGACTCTTCTTGGGTCTTAAGCCTGCTGGCCTTTTGCCTGGAGCCACATCATCAGCTCTCCTGATTCCCGGACCTTCAGGCTTTGACTAGATTTGTATCGTTGGCTCTCCTGACTGTCCGCTTGCCAAGTGCAGTTCTTGGCACTTGCTGTCCTCCATAGTCATGTGAGCCAATTTCTCATAAAAAATCTCTTTTTACGTGTATGTATGTGTGTATGTGTGCCTTTCACATGTATCATGTATTTATATGTATACGCCACTATTGGCTCTGTTTCTCCGGAGAACTCTAATACACATGGCCTCCAGGAATTAAGACATAAAAAGAAGACAGAAGCAAGAAGACACCTCCAAATACTTGCAAATAAATGGAGTAGTACAGTGTTGAGGAGCATCGGCTCTGGAGTCAGACGGACTTGGGTTCCCATCGTGGCTCCTCCCGTCAGCTCTGTTATCATGGGCCCACCCCTCGGTGTCTGAGCCTCATTTCACTCCTACGAAGACTCAGTGGAGTAATTAGCATAAAGCATTTACTGCAGCTCCTGGCAATAATAAACCGTGGCCTTAAAAATGAGTTTCCAATATAAAACTTTTGAGCAACTGCACCCATTCTGTAAATATGTTCTTACAGGAAAGCTGTTCTGGTGAAGGACAGAATTAACCAGAGGCTGGCCCTCTTAACCCGGCCCTCTCCTAGCAGCCTCGAAGGTGGTGACACTCCGGAGTCGCTGGGCTCACCGTGTGCCACCCTCTGGCAGAGACCAGGTGTCCAGGAGATGGGATAGAATCATCGTGGAGAACAGGACTCAGCTGGTTGTCTGTTCCCTACACATATTCTGTCTCACAGTGCCCTTCATCTTCTGTCTTACAGTGCTCTGAGCTGAATGTTTGCGTCCCCCCCCCCCGCCCCAGATTCAAATGTGGACACTGTAATCCCTGTTGTGATGGTATTTAAAGAGGAAACTTGTGAGAGGGAGTCAGGGTTAGATGAGGTCCTGAGGGTAGGGCTCTTACGATGGGATTAGTGCCCTTACGGAAAGAGGGAAAGACAGGAGATTTCTATCCGCCATGTGAGGGGACAGCAAGAAAGTGGCCATCTGTCAGTCAGGAAGAGGGTCCTCCCCAGACCCCCAGTCTGCCTGAGACCTTGATCTTTTGACTTCTCAGCCTCCAGAACTGATACGTCGTGTTGAAGCCACCCAGTCTTTGATGTCCTGTTACAACAGCCCAGACTGATGGAGGCACATCATCTAAAAACAACAGCGTCCCATTTTGACAACCGTGTAGCTTTCTGCTGGTTTCTCCGCACGTTGTCTGACAGTTCTTCCTTCATAGCCAGTGATGTCCTTCTCAGAAGTAAAAATGATTATGTCACCCACCTGATCACTTGTGCTGGCTTCTCATTGCTCTCAGGGTAAAATCAAAATCTTGACTTCCTCTCATCTGCCACTCCTTCATCCTTACCCAACCCCCCCTGGCTCATACTGGACTTTCTCCCAGATGTGCTGTGCTCTCCCCCATCCAGGCCTTTACATGTGCTGTTCCCTCAGTTTATAGCACTCTCTAAGCCCTAATCATCAAGTCCCAGCTTGAATATCATTTATGGGGCCTTCCCTCATCTCTTGTACTAGTGTAAGTCTGCTGTATTCTTCCCTCTGTATACTTTATTATAAATATTTAATTTCTCTCTTGCTTAAAGTGGATTCCACGAGGGCAAAGACTGTGTTTCATTAAGTGCGATTTCCCTAGCCCCCAGCACCCTGTCTGGTACATGCTAGGTGCTTAGTGTTTGCTGGATATTGAATGACGGCCTTTTGCGAGAAGACAGTAACATGTGGGTCTGTAGCCAGTGTTGTAGTTTATAGCACCAGCTACATGGGAGGATTTGTCTTGCATGTTTAATAGTTTTTTTCCCCTCTTCTTGTGAACCTTTTGAATTTCAGGCCTGCCGGGGGGCACAGACAGCAGCAGCCACAGCTCCCCGAATCAAGAAATTCGCCATCTATCGATGGGATCCAGACAAGACGGGAGATAAACCTCATATGCAAACTTACGAAATTGATTTGAATAAGTGAGTATCTCTGTGAGAGCTAGATGTTTGCTAAGTGAAGGTGAGCCCTCGATCTGGTTCAGGGACATGCGTTTCACGTCCGTGGAAGGTTTACGAACAGATCATCCAGTAGGTCTGGAATTTATCATCTCTTTTAGAAACAAGAATGAGGTAGGCACCTGCTTTGTAAAGATAATTAATACCAGAAAGAATAAGTTTTGTAAAATTCCTTTCTCCAAATCAGAGGATGACAGATTTCTTTGTTATTAAAGGTTTTTTGTTTATTTTTGAGAGAGAAAGCATGCACGCACGAGCGGGGGAGGGGCAGAGAGAGACGGAAAGAGAAACAGGCCCCACGCAGTCAGCGCAGAGTCCGATGCGGGGTTCGAACTCACAAGCTGTGAGATCATGACCTGAGCCAAAATCAAGGGGCGGACACTTAACTGACCAAGCCCCTCTGGGACCCCCAGAGGATGACAGATGTCTAGGAGCACTGGTAGAGCTGGAGGGACACCATAAATGTGGCTGGAATGGTGATGGGAGAAGAGAGGGATGCAGTTAAAATACGAACAAAGATCCGTGCCTCTGTATTATTCTTCTATTTCTGTCATATCAAAGTGCCACAGACCGAGCGGCTTAAAACAGCCTGGATTTATCACCTCTCGGTTCTGCAGGCTAGAGGTCTGGCGAAGGTGTCATCAGACCACAGTCGGGGTGTCAACGGGCATGTTTCTTTCTGGAGACCAGGGAAATCCACTTTCTGTTCCCCTGGGCTGTTGGCAGAATTCAGTTCCTTATGGTCGTGACACTGAGGTCCCTGGTTTCTTGTTGGCTGTAAGCTAAGGGCTGCTTGCAGCTTTTCGGGGCCGTGCGCTCCGCGACTCAAGCTCCCCCGTCTTCAAAGCCAGCAACAGCGGGGTGAGTCCTCCTCTCTCTGAACCACTCTTCTTTCGTCATCTTCACCCTGGAGGGGCACCCCGGTTCCCACTGCGCCCCCCTCCGCTCCCCAGTATGACCAGATCCGTCCTCCTTTACAGTCTGTTTTATTTGCAAATGAGTAAGTATTTAATGTCTTTTGAGGGGCGCCTGGCTGGCTTAGTCGGTTAAGTGTCCGACTTTCGCTTAGGTCATGATCTCGCGGTTCGTGGGTTCGAGCCCCACGTCGGGCTCTGTGCTGACTGCCAGCTCAGAGCCTGGAGCCTGTGTCTGAGTCTGTGTCTCCCTCTCTCTCTGACCCTCCCCTGCTCACGCTATCTCTCTCTCTTCTAGAAATAAATAAAAATATTAACAAAAAAAAAAAAAACCATTTAATGTCTTTTGAACAAAAGCCGCCATGGCACCAAAAAAAGATTTGAAAACTATTCAAAGTGCTTTCTTTGACTCTGCACCAACACATAAGTTCTGTTAAGCAGTAGAGTTAGTTGATCTATAACCTTGTCAGACACAGAGTTACCAAATACTTAGCAACCAAAAATCATTAGTAAAATGTGTGTTAAGAACAAAAAAAACTCTTACTACTTGGAAATTAAAAAGCAGTCTTTAAACAACTACTTTATTAAGGAATCATTTCAAATATTGTTAGATGCTTGGAGAAGAAAAGCATTTTGAACCAAAACCTACAGAATGTGACTAAAACTTCAGAAGAGTGAAACTCATAACTATTTTTTAAATGTTCATTTATTTTATTTTGAGAGAGAGAACAAGCCAGGAAGGGGCAGAGAGAGAGAATCCCAAGCATGGGATCGGGCACGCTGACAGTGCAGAGCCCGACACAGGGCTCAATCCCATGAACCCTGTGATCATAACCTGGGCTGAAATCATGAGTTGGACACTTAACTGACTGAGCCAGTCAGGCACCCGCATAACTATTTTTTGATGATAAAAAATGTAAAGAGTAATTACATTCTTCTCCAGTTATACCAGAGTAGCCTTCATCATACTAGCCCTCAAGTAACAACTATAAACTCTGGACAAGATATAAGCAGTAATGACCTGCAGGCATAGGGCAGTGACCAGAGCAGGCAGACACTGGGAGTGAGTTGACACTTGGAAGAACAGAATGTTACTGGGTGAATGAACTGGGTTTTACTTACAAGCTTTGACCTGAGGGCAAGCCCCTGTCGAAGTGGAGGTACAAGGCCAGAAATGCGATAGAACCACAGTCTTACTAGCTTGAACAACCAGAGGATACCTTGTATGGCTACCAGAGGAACCAGAAAATGAGGGGGCAGTCCAGGAAAGAAATGCAGAGGGGGAGCCCTGAATTCTCTGAACTGCCCGAGTCTGGAGTTCAGCCCATATTAATTATTGCTTTAAAAAAAAAAAAAGTCAGGGGCACCTGCTGGCTCAGTTGGTAGAGCATGTGACTCCTGATCTGAGGGTCATGAGTTTAAGCCCCACATTGGGCATGGAGTCTACTTAAAATAAATAAAAAGTATTTTAAAAGAATTTTTTTAAATCAATACTCTGTAGAGAAGTACAATAAAATCCAGAGTTGCTACATCGTGTTATTCACACAGTCCAGCACACAGTCCAGAATTACTAATCACACGAAGAAACAGACACACAGCCCATACTCAACGGGAAGACCAGCGATGGAGGTCGGCCAGCCCGAAGCAACCCAGGTGTTGGAATTAGCAGACGGGGATTTTAAGGCGTTGTTACACCTGTGCTTGTAGATGAAGGAAAAGCTGCTCATGAGCCAGGAAATCTCAGCAGGGAAATAGAAACTTGTAAAAAGAACCAAATGGAAAATCTGGAACTGAAAAACAGCAATATCTGAAACAGAAAATTCACTGGACCAATGTGAAAGCAGGGGGATTCTGTGACCCTGAAAATACATTAACAGGAATTATGTGTCCCTAAGAATAAAAAAGACTTTTAAAAAAGAAACAAACCTGATTGATGTGGAATGATATCAGAAGGTTTAACATAGGTCTTTGGAACCCCAGAAGGCGTGGAGAAAGGGCAAAAAAAATACTTGAAGAGCTACTGACCAAGAACCCCCACGCTGGTGAAAGACGTAATTGACACACTCAGGACGCATCATGAACTGTAGACGGTGAACACAAAGAAAAAGACACCCAGGAACATTACACTCAAATTGCTACGAATCAGAAGGAAAGAGGAAACCTCGAAAGCAGGACCGGCCATACACATTACACCCTGGGCAACAACACAAATGACTGTTTACTACTCAGTCAATAATTGTAAACGCCAGAAGACTATGAAATGCCATTGCTTCATTACTAAAAGAATAACACTATCAGTCACAATCCTGTACTTAGCAAAATGGTGAGGGTGGAATGAAAACCATTTCAGATAATAAAAAATCCAAGAATTCATAGCTAGAAGGCCTGTACTAAGTGTAGTGTGAGAAGTTATCTAGGCTGACGGAACTTACCTCTTGAGAAAGGAGTGAAAAGCACTAGCTGTGGTAAATAGAAAACCATTTTTCCTCTTAATTTCATTAAAGTATACGTATGACTGTTTAAAGCAAAAATCTAATGCTGTACGTATTGTGTACCATGGCTCGTACAGATTGATGCGCATGATAACCAGCATAAGGGCTGGGGGCAGGCTGACTGTAAGACTGCAGGGTTCTTACAGTACATGAAATGGTACAAGATTGACTCGACAGGTTGAAAAGTCAGAGACGCACATTACAATTCTAGAGTCACCATTTATTATAATGCAGAGTGAGATAGCTAAAAAACCAATATATAAATTAGATGGAATTCCAAAACTACTTAATCTACCTAAAAATATTGCTTAAAGCAGGAAAGAAAGAACAGGGGGGGAAATGTTGGGACAAATAGTAAATGAGAGACCAAAATCCAACCACATCAATAATTACACTATTAAAGGCATTAAACACACCAGTTAAAAGGCAAAGATTGTCCATAGATAAAAAATAAAACCCAATTTCATGCTACTTCTAAGAAATACACTTTAAATATTGTTAAGAACAAAACTACGTGAATTTTAAAGATCTTACTGGCGTGGGGCACCTGGGTGGCTGATTTCAGTTAAGCATCCAACTCTTGATTTTTGGCCCAGGTCGTGATCCCAGGGTCCTGGGATCAAGCCCTGAGTCAGGCTCCACACCGAACATGGAGCCTCCTTAAGATTCTCTCTCCCTCTCCCTCTGCCCCTCCCCTGCTCTCACACACACGCTGTCTCCGAAGGAAAAGAGAAAAAAAAAAAAGGAGAGGGGTGTCTGGGTGGGTGGCTCAGTCGGTTAAGCACACAACTTTTGGTTTCGGCTCAGGTTAAGATTTCACGGTTTGTGAATTCAAGCCCTGCATTAGGCTCTGTGCTGATGGTGCAGAGACTGCTTTGGATTCTCTCTCCCTGTTTCTTTGCCCCCGCTCTCTCTCTCTCAAGATAAACCTTAAATTTTTTCAAATAAAAAATAATAAAAACTTAAAAATGAATTTTTAAGAAGTAAAGACAGATCATCTGAACATTATCATCTTGATCTAATTGATATTTTTGAGACACCACACCAAACAGTTGCAAAATACATGCTCTTTTCAAGTGTGCACGGAACTGAAGTTCACTGTGGCACTGGGTCATAAAACAAATCTCAATAAATTCCAAAAAATTGGGATATTCCAGAGTGTATTCTCAGACCACAATGGAATTCAAATAGAAAGTAGTAACAGAGAACACCTAGGTGGTTCAGTCAGTAAGTATCCGATTCTTGATTTCAGCTCAGGTACTGATCTCACCGTTTGTGAGATGGAGCCTCGCACCAGCCATCAGGGTCCGCGCTGGGCCTGGTCCCACTTGAGATTCCCTTCCTCTCTGACCCTCCCTGCTCACATTCCCACCCCTCCAACCCTCATCTCTCTATCAAAATAAACATTTAGGGGTGCCTGGGTGGCTTAGTCGGTTAAGTGTCCGACTTTCGCTTAGGTCATGATCTCACGGTTCGTGGGTTCGAGCCCCGCGTCGGGCTCTGCTGACTGCCAGCTCAGAGCCTGGAACCTGTATCGGTCTGTGACTCCTTCTCTCTC